TCTTTCTTTCTTTCTTTCTTTCTTTCTTTCTTTCTTTCTTTCTTTCTTTCTTTCTCTCTCTCTCTCTCTCTCCCCCTCTCTCTTTCTTTCTTTCTCTCTCTCTTTCTTTCTTTCTGTTTAAAGAGAGATTTTTGCTATAGGGTGCATGTGCTCACCAGAGAGACAGAGAGAGAGAGATAGAAAGTGAGAAATCATCCCCTAGGGGGTATGGTCACACCACAATCTCTTCTCCATTTTCCTCTTGGGATTTTGGGCATGCACGCACATGTGCCTGAGTCACAGGTAGCTTTTCTGCTTCCTTCACAGTAGTTGAAACCAAAAGAAGGACTTAGTAGACATTTTCCAAAAAGCTGTGGCACCACCAAGCTGGGTCAATGGGCTGAGAATGTCTTCACTTCAAAAAAGAACCTGGAAAGGATGAGCGGCCAGGCACTGGGAGGGCATAGGTAGGGGCTCGATTTCATTTTGTACCTGTCTGCAGGAAAGCATGCTTTATTCTATGTGCTGTGTTACTTTCTATTTTTAGAGATTTTTGCTGTAGGGCATGTGCACTTGCCAGAGAGACAGAAAGACAGAAAGCGAGAAATCACCCCCCACCACCACCACCCCGAGGCGATGGCCTAGTTGCAATCTCTTCTCCTCCATTCTCCTCTCGGGATTTTGGGCATGCATGCACACATGCCTGGCATGAGTTTTAAGTCGCTGGGTTCGGGACTCCAACTGTGGTGGACTGGGAATCTAGGGACGTAACCATTACAGCATCTGCTGATCCCCTGCGTTGCTTTCGAAACAGAAACAAATGCTTAGATTAGCTACTGTTCTGGCCACCCCCCCCTTAGGGTGTGTGCACTTACCAGAGAGAGACAGAGAGGGAAAGTGAGAAATCCTCCCTGTCCATGGGGATGGCCATGCTGTAGTATCCTCCGTTCTCCTCTCTGGATTCTGGGCAGCATGCACATGTGCCTAGTGTGATTTTCAAGCCACCAGGTCTGGGACTCAAACTGCATTTGGCCAGCACCTTAACTACTACACCATCTGCTGGTCCTTGCTCTGGCTTTTTAATTTTTTTCTTTTAACGTTAAAGGTAATTTCTTTTTTTTTTTTTTTTGTTTTTTTTTAGAAGTTTTTGCTATAGGGAGGGTGGGCTCACTACACAGAGAGGGAGCGTGTGCTCACTAGACAGAGAGAGAGAGACAGAGAGACAGAAAGCAAGAAATCACCCCCCAGGGGGGATGGCCACGCCACAATCCCTTCTCCTCCGTTCTCCTCTCGGGATCTTGGGCATGCATGCACACGCGCCCGGTGTGAGTTTAAGCCACCGGGTCCAGGATGCAAACCGTGGTCGACTACATGGGAGTCCAGCGACATAGCCATTACGCTAACTGCTGGTCCCCGTTAAAGGTAATTTCAAACATTTCACAAAGAAAAGACATTTGCATCTACCTGCAACACTAGCCTGTCAGTGTTTCCAGTGGCTAATCTGAACAGAGTTTAAAAGTCAGGTAAGTAAGAAGGAAAGAAAAACCCTACTTACATTCTACTCGCTTCTCTAGCACTGCCAAGTGATTCGCAACTTCGGCTTTCAGTTCATTGATTTTAAACGCTCTAAGAATGAAAAAAAAAAAGACAAAATATCACTCATAAAATTTTCAAAGCTAACATTGGTTCAGCAAATGTATATTTAAACTCTGCCATGGGTGGGGCCCTACAGGTGGGCTGGTGAGGAGGTAGGTACAAAGATGCCAGGAGTTGCCTTTAAGGAACTCACAATATAAGGAGGAGGAGAGAAGACCACACACACACCACCAAATTATCACAAGGTCTACTTTCCAAGACAGGGTCAACTGCTATACCACTTCCGGGCCGGGAAGCCAAGCTCTGGTCTTCTGCTGACAAAGCTGGGATGGCTGAGAGATCACCCCTGCCCCAAGAGGCACTGACAACTTCAGGGCACCGGGGTGCTCTCCAGGGGCCCCAATCCAACTATTTAAACAGTTCATGAACTTTTAGAAAAATACGATACTATCCACCTTCCCTTTTCCCCATTTTAATTTCCCTGGGGACTAAGGTGCCACAGAGACATGATTTGAGAAACTGAAAATATTCTCTTTGGGATTGGTGTGGTGAGGCAAGCTGAAAAGGAAGCCATAGACTCTCAGTGAGGAAGCTTATCCTTAAACAGTGCCAATTCTTGTAGATGGTCCTGAGAGTCCCAGAAGAGGCCATTGGCCACACGAGGTTGCATTCTAAAAGTGACCACCCGACATGGTCTTTGGAATAAAGGAAGTATTTCTGAATCTCATCCAGGCCAGCTGAGTTACAGAAGAGGCAGGGATCTATTAGAGCCTGATGGCCAGGGCCACCCACAGAGCCAGGGGCCCACCTTTGCCATGAAGATACAAAGCACCGGGAACCAGCAGTTAGCGTAATGGCTATGTCGCTGGACTCCCACATAGTCGACCGCGGTTTGCGTCCTGGACCCGGTGGCTTAAAACTCATGCCGGGCGCGTGTGCGTGCGTGCCCAAGATCCCGAGAGGAGAATGGAGGAGAAGGGATTGTGGCGTGACCATCCCCCCTGGGGGGTGATTTCTCGCTTTCTGTCTCTCTGTCTCTCTCTGTCTGGCGAGCGCATGCGCCCTATAGCGAAAACCTCTCCAAAAAAAAAGATACAAAGCACCCATCATCCATAGCATGCATTTAAAGGTGGTACCTTGAGAACTGGTCTGCAACCTGGGCCAGCACGCTCTGGATTAATTCTTCTCTCTCTGCAAACCAAAGAAGAAAGACAGATGGAACAGTGACAGGGCGAGACACGGGTCCCAGTGCACGTGTTGTGGTAGGCAGTGCCGATGCTGTGGCTGAGGAGCTGCCTGAGTAACCGTGAGGATGCTCTAGCCTTTCTGTCCATGACCCAGGGCCTCTCTGAGCTCTGAGTGCTCCTTTCCTACGTGCCTTCAAATGCTCCAGACCCACAATGGTCTCACCATGGTCTCTGAGCCGAATGGTCAGGGCTTTTGGTCCTCCAGCTGTAAGCACTGGCTATACAAGACAGCCAGGACCGTGTATCTAAATTCAGGAAGTTTTCCCTCTGTGCTTGGGGCCATTTTATGGTGGCAATTACTGTGGCAAAGTAAGTTCAAGGCATATGTCAAGTGCAAAACACAGTGTTCTCATGGCAGGCCTGCAGACAGGAAGCAGACCTGGGGTGAGCAAGTTTGTCTCTCTGTTGCCTGGCCTGTAAAACTGGGCTGGGTGGCTGAATTTACAACGTTCAGACCCTGGGCTGAAGGTGACCTGCCTGCTTTCCTGTTTCCTGCCCAGGCTCAATGCCAGATACTGCATGGGAAGGTATGGGTGCTCACAGCACTGTTCTTCTCAGCAACTCTATGCTCTTGGGACGGGAGAGATCACTTCTTGGTTCCAGTTAGTCATCAGCTCATGCTATAAAGCACCAAGAACCTCCTCCACAAGGCTAACTGCTGAAATCATGTGATTGTGCTCACTTCAAGCTTAACTCTCCAGTATAAACAAAACAAAACCAAGCCAAATCTAACAAAAGAATGTCAATAATTTGATTTAGCAATTGGGCCCCCAAACTGAAAATGTTCATATGCTCTGACCCAGTGTTCCATTTCTAGGAAAAAATCATGCACGTAACACAAAAGATGCTTGTCACAATGTTAACATAGTGGAAACTCTACCAACTAATATGTCCATTGAGCAGAGATTTATTAAACAAAAACGGATATATCCATTGTGGAATTACAGTGGATTTCTAGAAATGTCCTAGAAAACATTTATGTCAATAGTTAAAGTAAAAAAAAAAAAAAAAAAAAAAAGATGAATTACTTGATCGTTTTTCTGTTATGTTTTTAAAGTTGTGAGATGTTTTAAATATATAAACTTGCCATCTAGCTTTTAGAAATGTTAACATTTTGCCTTTATTTTCGTAAGAAATAAAATACTGCAGACTTTTTTTTTAAAAAAGAAACCAACCAGGTTTGGGGACCAGCAGTTGGAGTAATGGCTATGTCATTGGACTCCCACATAGTCAACCACGGTTCGAGTCCCGGACCTGGTAGCTTAAAACTCACGCTGGGCACGTGTGTGTGCGTGCCCAAGATCCAGAAAGAACGGAGGAGAAGGGATTGCGGCGTGGCTTTCCCCCCTGGGGGGTGATTTCTCGCTTTCTGTCTCTCTGGTGAGCGCACGCGCCCTATAGCAAAAACCTCTCCAAAAAAAAAAAAAAGAAAGAGAAGAAACCAACCAGGTTTTAAAACAGTAATATAGGGACCAGCAGTTAGCGTAATGGCTATGTCGCTGGACTCCCATGTAGTTGACTGTGGTTCGCGTCTCGGACCCGGTGGCTTAAACCTCATGCTCGGCGCATGTGCGTGCGTGCCCAAGATCCCGAGAGGAGACCAGAGGAGAAGGGATTGCGGTGTGGCCATCCCCCCTGGGGGGTGATTTCTCGCTTTTTGTTTCTCTGTCTCTGTCTGTCTGGTGAGCGCATGCGCCCTATAGCAAAAAAAACCTCTCAAAAAAAAAAAAACCCAGTAATATAGAGTTATATCATTTCTGAAAACATACTGTGTGGGAGGGGAATACTAGAAAATAATAATAGTAGTTATCCCTGTTTATAAGCTTATATATAGATTTTATTTTTGCATTTTTGCCTCTCTGTATCTTATGCATTTTTAAAATAATGAATACATATTAATTTAATAAAAAGAAAAAATATTAAAAACTAATCAATTTGGGGCTGACAGATGGTGTGGTCACTTTCCCTTTCTGTCTGTCTCTCTGTGTAAATAAATAAATAAATAAATAAATAAATAAATAAAATAATTATTAAAAAAATTAATCTATTTAAATTAACTTAAGACATCACTGCTTCACCTGCCAGATAAGAGGGTGGACCAGATGGCTCAAGATTCCCTGTGGTTTTAAGTGTTCTATGGTTTGATGAAAAGAAGAGAAATGACATTTTGCTAAATATCTTGAAGTTGTAAGAATAAAAATGCCAGCCAGGAATCATTTGTAGAACCACAGGTTGAGCTGCTGACTGGCCCATAGCCTTAATCATCGGAAAGGCCCAAATCCACCAGGAAAGAAAATGGCCTCCGCCAGTAAGGGCCATCGCCACGGTTCATAGTCAAACCTGATGAACCCAGCAGGGTTTCAGGTCAATTATCATGAAACCTTCAAAGAAGGTTAAACATAACCTTTAAGAGTTAATGATCTCAAAGTCTTGAGATAAATTTAGAAGTCCATCAAACAATCAACATTTATACTCCTCCGCCTAACAACAGAAGCACACGCATTCTTTTCACATGCCTGCGAAGCATATACTGAGAGAGACTGCATCCTGGGCCATAAAGAAAACCTCAACGAATGCAAGGTCTGAAATCATACAGGGTATGTTCTCTGACCACAAGTGATTCAATCTAGAAAGCAGTAACAGAGAGGTAGTAGGACACACTTGGAAATGAAGAAATGTTCTTCTATATAATTCACAGGTAAAAGAGAAAGTCTTTTTTTTTTAGAGGTTTTTGCTATAGGGCGCGTGCGATCTCCAGAAAGATAGAGAGAAACAGAGAGACAGAAAACAGGAAATCACCCCCTGGGGGGATGGCCACACCACAATCCCTTCTCCTCCATTCTCCTCTTGGGATCTTGGGCATGCATGCACATGCGCCTGGTGTGAGTTTAAGCCACCAGGTCCAGGACTCAAACTGCGGTTGACTACATGGGAGTTCAACAGCATAGCCATTATGCTAACTGCTGGTCCCCACAGAGAAAGTCTTAAGGAAAATAAAAGGAGACATTGAACTCAATGAAAATGAGAAAATAAACATGCAACACTTCAAAATTTAGTTGTAGAATACCACTAAAGCAACACCAAGAGGAAAATTTATAGCACTGAATGCTTGCCTTAGAGGAGAGGGAAAATATCAACTCAATAATCTGAGATCCCGCTTTAAGAACCTAGGAAAAAAAAAGGAACAAAATAAACTTGCAATGATAGCACAAGGACGAAAGAAAATAATAAAAATAAGAATAGAGATCAATGAAATAGAAAATAGAAAAATAGTGCAGACTATCAAGGAAACAATAATCTGATTACTTAAAAAATTTCAAGAGATTGACAAACTGCTAGTAAGAGTGACAAAGAAACAAAGAGAGAAGACACAGATTATCTGCATCAAGAATGAGAAGGGCCATCACTACAGACATCACAGGGATAATAATGGAGCACTACCAACAACTCTACACACACAATAGACATCTTAAACAAAATGGACTAATTTCTAAAAGAGTATGAATGACCATAACTCATGTGAGATAGGTAATTTTATCAGCCTATAACTAACAAAGAAACTGAATTTATCATTTAAAAACTCACAAAAAGCAAATTTCCAGGCCCAGGTGGTTTCATCAAAGAAGTCTACCAAGTGTTTAATAAATTAACATAATTCTAAACAATCTCTTCCAGAAAGTATCGGGTCATTGGGAAAGTCATGGCACATTTTTGTTTTTAGAGGTTTTCGCTGTAGGACGCGTGCACTCGTCAGACAGACAGAGAGAGACAGGGAGATAGAAAGCGAGAAATCAACCCCCAGGGGGGATGGCCATGCCGCATTCCCTTCTCCTTCATTCTGCTCTCGGGATCTAGGGCACGCACGCACATGCACCCGGTGTGAGTTTAAGCCACCGGGTCTAGGACTCAAACCGCGGTCGACTATGTGAGAGTCCAGCAACATAGCCATTACGCTAACTGCTGGTCCCAGTCATGACACATTTTTTTAAAAAAGAATTATTTTATTTTATTTATTCATTTATTTATTTTAATTTGACCAGAGAGGGACAGAGTGAGAGAGAGAGGGCAAGTGAGAAAGCAAGCCTCCAGGTCTGGGACTCAAACCGTGGTTGGCCATGTGGGAATCCAGCAAGAAAGGGAAATAAAAATGTGAAAAATGACTGTCCCTATTGCCAATGACATGATTATCTACATAGAAAATTTCAAAATTCTACCAAAAATGTTTCCTAGAACTAATAAGAGAGTTTAGCAAGGACATAGGATAGAAAGTAAACACACAGAAGAATTCAGCTATTGGGTTGTGGGAAAAGTCATGGTGCATCTTTGTAGAGAAAAACATAAAAAAAAAGCCATGACCTTTCTGACAACCCAATATATTTATATATACTAGTAATAGCTATTGCTATTCCATTTTAAGTGACAAAATTAAATTAAAATAAAAAATACAATATCAAAAATTATCACTAAAAAAACCCCTGTACATGGGTATCTACAAATAAAACATTTGTAGAACTCACATGCTGAAAACTACGAAACACTGGTTAAAGAAATCAAAGACATAAATCAACGACATAACCTACCATGTTATGGGTTATAAGACTCACCATAGGAAAGATGCCAAGTCTTCCCAAATTGGTGTACAGGTTTAATGAGATGTCCATCTTTTTTTTTTTTTTGGTAGAAATAGATTCTCCTAGCATTTATATGGAAAGGCAAAGGAACGAGAGAAGCTAAAATAAGTTTCAAAAGATGATAAAATGGGAGGGCTTGGGGCCAGCAGATGGCACACTGGTTATGTTGCCGGACTTTCAAGTAGTTGACCGTGGCCTGAGTCCTGTACCTGCTGGCTTAAAACTCACACCTGGTGCATGTGCATATTCCAAAATCCCAAGAGGAGAATAGAGGAGAAGGGATGAAGGTGTGGCCATCCCGCTTGGGAGTGAT